CCCCCCCCCCCCCCCCCCCATGAAAAATCAAATGGTCCGTCCCTAATAATAAGAGGGTAGGATTAAAGTGGGCGTTGTCACTCGCTAACCCAATCGGCTGTCTGGGTTCTGTACCACGAATAGAATAGTATTGTTGTCGAATTGAATTTTTTCTAAAGCCTGTGATTCAAATATAGTAAAATATTAAGCCAAAGGAATCCATTTTGTAGCTTCTCGCCTGACCCCAATTGTAAAATTGGTAGACATAGCATTGCAATTTTAAGGGTGGACCATTAGAAATCCTGGGAGGGGGGGGGGGTATAACATTTTTGCAGCACAATTTTTTTCAGCCTCATGTCTCTGCAGGATTTTTTTTCATGCATTTAACCTCTGAAAGAATTTTTTTTCAAAATTTTTTTTTCGTTTGCTTGCACGGTTTTTTTTTCTCTGACGTAATTTTTTTTCCAGACATTTTTCTTTGCACGAATTTTTTGGGGGGAATCTCCCCCTCCCGGGATTTCTAATGGTCCGCCCCAAAGTAAATGAAAAACTAACAACTAATATAATTAACAACTTTGATGTGCTTTATCCCATTTGCACAACCTTGTTTTTTAGCGGATTTGTCACTTGGTTAAAAATGGATTTAAGATCAGCACATTGTATTCAAGTGCCTCCAAAATGCTAGAAATGCCATTTCAGTGTACCAAAATTAAAAAAAAATTTCCAGTAGCATACCAACAGACCACAGAATAGAAAGGTATAGCAGAAGTGTATCTTGAGTCAGTGCCTTTATTGTTTACGTCCACGAAAATGTTGACTCCCTCACACCAATCCACGCCATCCTGGCTGGTACAGCCGGAAGTTTTTTTCAGGTTTTGGTAGGTACAAAGTGCCAGTTTTACTAGCCAGGATGGCGTGATTGGTGACGCATCGCTTGTAAAAACGTGGACAAATACTTGCTTGGGTGAGACTTCTCATATACCTTCCTATTCTGTGACCGGACCGTCCTAATTTGGAGTACTAGTCCATCCCCCCACTTTTTGGGATGGATTGACGCCCTTGGAAAGGCCCAAGCCTACATGGGTACAAAATAGTATACCACACATTTGCTGTATAACAAACATTATAATATTGCACTAAAACATTTCTCAGCAATTAGTCACATTTAACACTACATCGGGTTTCATTCTTTAAATTATATTTACAATTTATCGTTTTGTAAATATATATACTCAATATAGTATAAATAGTAGCATAACCAGAATTTAACTGTCCTGTGGATAGTTACACTTGCTTTTGGATAAGCACACACAATAGTGTTTCAGTAAAATCGTCTTGTACAATACTTCAAAAATGCACAATCACTCGAATAATTACATGCATGACGAAAGACCATGCACGTCACAGAATAATTAATATATGTAATGGTTACACAATGTGCATCTGCCCGAGCAAGAAAGGACTGTTATTGGTAATGCTATTGCTTATAAATGTGTTATCTTAAAATACTTTCTATTTTTTCTACCTTTAGAAGTAAAGTCTCTGTTGGCAAATTTCAGTGCATAATATAGTCGCATTCGTATGAACAACTTTAAAACGTAGTCACCAGGAAAACGTGAACACTGCGGAACTGAAAACTCAGTGAGTTTCCCAACTAAATATTTCCCAAGTCCAACCTTATTCAAGACAATAGGAAGTTCATCTACGAATGTACTCTCTAGAAGTGTTATGTAATGTACAAAGTCCTCACTTGGAATGAGTAGTCCACTAAATGGTTTTGTTTTAGACTGGTATGCCTTAAAATAGCAAAATAGCTTTGTTGAACTGTCAAGCTCTGGATTGACCAAGCGTTCGGCACAGATTTTGCATTTGTGCTTCTCTAAGCATTTTTTGAGCAATGTGTGATGGCATTCATACAAGTGAGATTGTTCTCAATTTCGTGCAATCGGTAATCTGAATCCTCGACTTTAAATGGCTCAGATGACTCTTCTGTGACCGTAGCTGATTTCTTATCTGGATGTGAAACAAGTAGTGTATCTAGATCTCCCACACAATTTCCCAAAGACTGTTCTGCTATGTTATCATAAAATAGCTTTCGAAATGCTCTGCAGAATTGAATTGGTGTTGGATTATCAGAATTCCCCCCTTGTTGTCGAATGGTGCCAAAGAAATTCTCAAGTGGATCCTGGTTTAGGCGGCGTGTGTAAAGAAACTTAACTTCTGGTCTTCTTTGCAATTGTTGCCAGAGTTCGAGTGTTCCTTGCAAAGTCACACGTAATCCTCGCAGACATTTCAGGGTGTTGGTAGCATCTTTTTGATTTTCTGGGTTGATTACCTTGATCGACGCGATAAATGTGAGCATTTCTTTCATAAACTGCACATGCTGGGAGTTACTGGTGATTGGTCGACGGAGAAATTTTCCAGCTTTAAGGGTACTGCTATTCAAACAGTCAAAGATTTGATCCAGTTTGGTTATTAAGTCTGCGGTACCAGATGCTGACGCTGGGAGAGTGCCAATGCTTACTGACATCATTATTGCTGCTGCTACGGTATGGCTCAAAAATTGTGTGGCAAGTTTAACCTTCATCTTCTTGAAACCATTTGGATGGATGTGGTTGTCTGTCAACTTAGGACAGCACCGAATGGACTGGGCTTTGTCGTTGGCATAAAGGGCTTCAACATCTTTCCAACTGGCGACTTTATTGTCGAAGTGAAACTCGTAGTTTATCATGTTATTTCTTACCGCCTTGATTACATGTGGTGGATCAAAAATGTAGATAATTTTCTTACCATTGTGTATGAACCAAGGTTTCTCGGGGGTGATGTTGAGATCTCTTGCTAATTTTATGAAGTTGGAACCAAGATCAGAAATAACGGCTGTGACAGTCAACCCAATTGAAGTGGCTTTGTCAATTGCTTCAAATAATTTTTCTTTTACTTTATCGCTGTCACACGATTCATTAACCAGGTAGTAACCCAGCGGTTGTTTCCAATTTCCCATTACGCCTCGGGCCATAAGAACCAATGCTGATGTTGCTAGCTCTTTGGTTTTAGTCGCATCTCCAAAGTCCTGGAGGCCGATGACTTCGTCTTTGGATGAGTCATATGCAAGGTTCACCTTGAGGGACATCTCATCCATTGAAATGGTACACAATTTGGTGTTTTCATCCATGTGTTTTACTTTGCTCTCCACTGCATCCATGGCTTCCTTGGTTAATCCAGGAGATCTTGGTAATCCAGAAACCCACTTCAGTAGGCTCGACTTTGAAGGAAGGGAGAAAAATTTAGCAACCATCCGGTATGCCCCCCCACTAATATGATAGAGAGACAATGCGAACTGCTTAGTTTCCTTGGTGTATCTTCGGCCTTTTGGTTTCTTCTGGTGCAGGTCGATTTGCAATTCGATGAATTTAGTGATGTTGTCAGGTAAGAACTGCCGTAGAATGGTCATCGCTTCTTCTTTTTGTAAACTGGGTTTTCTTTTTTTCTTCATGTTCAATGCCTCTCTCATTCTTTTCACTCTCTTTCGCTGTCCATCAATGACTTTACGTAGCTTCACCTTCCTTGGGGTACCATGTGACAACTTTTTGCTGGTTTGGCATTTTGCATCAACATGCATTGTTTGTTCTAGAGTGTGAAAATAAGAGATTATTTATCTATGTAATTACCTGTTCGCAAGAGCGAAATTATGATCAGTCACAATGTCAAGCATTTTGAGAAGTTAAAGCCAATTACAGACGAGTATGTTTTTTCTGGCAAAATTGGCAAAATACAAATTTTGCTCGTCTGTACCTGTATGGGTCAGCAAAGAAAATTGCAAAATAATCTAAGCACTTGAGTAATAATGCATGCGGTTGGTAAGCAATTTATATCGTAATAGCTCGTAACACGATATATAGCTATTATGTCGTGAAAATATAATACCTATATATCGAGGCGGTCAGAAACCCAAAAAATTATCATAAAAACTTTGTTGTACGTACACACGTGCAATTGACAAAGAAAACTTGTCATATGAAAACTTGTCACCGATAACTTGTTCGTCTGTAACCGGCTTAAAGCCTGGATTAAACGAGGTTCTCTTGGTTATAATACTTCCCAACTCTATCCTGTATTAAAATATTAAAAACGTATGTGAAACACTTATTAAACTTTTATTTTGTTAAACATACAGTACCTGTCGCGAGTAAGGGTACCTCCACTCGCGCGTAGCGAGTACTCGCGAGTCAAAGCGAGTACTCGTTCTGACTCGCTACTCGCGAGTACTCGCATTTCATCTCACTCGCAAGCACTCGCCACTCGCAACTTGCGAGTGCTTGCGAGTCAAAAGGCTCAGACAATTTGTACAAATATGAAGCGAATAATTCAGCTAAATGAAATAAAACTCCATAGTTATATGAAACCTAGTATGATAGATATTAACGTGTTTATAAACGACTGCCACATGGTGGGACATATTTTCTTCGAACAAAGTTCGTAGATGGACGGACAGTCTTAGAAGTTAGAAGCGTTAACTATAACTGAGTCTATGACTACGTGCACACGGTAACGTTTTCGAGCGTTTTCATTTGCGTTTTCACGCTAAAACGGATGCGAAAACTATTAATTTACGACTGAAGCTGTATTTTATTTAATATATTGGAGATATTTTCCTTTGAACCACGTGAACAGGGCATCAAAGCGATTAAAGGGACAAAAACGTTTTTGAAAACGCTCGAAAACGACGCCCGTGTGCACATAGCCTATATCAATCAAAACAAAGCTTTAATTAAAAGCGAAACCGCAGTCACAACGGTAAATATCTTCATACCTTCGTCGCTGCCACCTGGGGTATGAGCCCCAATGACCACATCTTCTCCATAACCATGTATAGCGGGATCTATAGTGCAAAAACACAGACATTACTTTAGGAACCTAAAGTAAATTATAAAATTAAAACCTTATGACTGTAGCTTGTATGGTCTGTTTCGATGACATACCTTCGTCGCTGCCACCTGGGGTATGAGCCCCAATGACCACATATTCTCCAGGACTATGTATAGCGGGATCTATAGTGCAAAAACACAGACATTACTTTAGGAACGTAAAGTAAATTATAAAATTAAAACCTTGTGACTGTAGCTTGTATGGTCTGTTTCGATGACATACCTTCGTCGCTGCCACCTGGGGTATGAGCCCCAATGACCACATCTTCTCCATAACCATGTATAGCGGGATCTAAAGTGCAAAAACACAGACATTACTTTAGGAACCTGAAGTAAATTATAAAATTAAAACCTTGTGACTGTAGCTTGTATGGTCTGTTTCGATGACATACCTTCGTCGCTGCCACCTGGGGTATGAGCCCCAATGACCACATATTCTCCAGGACTATGTATAGCGGGATCTATAGTGCAAAAACACAGACATTACTTTAGGAACCTAAAGTAAATTATAAAATTAAAACCTTGTGACTGTAGCTTGTATGGTCTGTTTCGATGACATACCTTCGTCGCTGCCACCTGGGGTATGAGCCCCAATGACCACAACTTCTCCATAACCATGTATAGCGGGATCTATAGTACAAAAACACAGACATTACTTTAGGAACCTAAAGTAAATTATAAAATTAAAACCTTGTGACTGTAGCTTGTATGGTCTGTTTCGATGACATACCTTCGTCGCTGCCACCTGGGGTATGAGCCCCAATGACCACATCTTCTCCAGGACTATGTATAGCGGAATCTATAGTGCAAAAACACAGACATTACTTTAGGAACCTAAAGTAAATTATAAAATTAAAACCTTGTGACTGTAGCTTGTATGGTCTGTTTCGATGACATACCTTCGTCGCTGCCACCTGGGGTATGAGCCCCAATGACCACAACTTCTCCATAACCATGTATAGCGGGATCTATAGTACAAAAACACAGACATTACTTTAGGAACCTAAAGTAAATTATAAAATTAAAACCTTGTGACTGTAGCTTGTATGGTCTGTTTCGATGACATACCTTCGTCGCTGCCACCTGGGGTATGAGCCCCAATGACCACATCTTCTCCAGGACTATGTATAGCGGAATCTATAGTGCAAAAACACAGACATTACTTTAGGAACCTAAAGTAAATTATAAAATTAAAACCTTGTGACTGTAGCTTGTATGGTCTGTTTCGATGACATACCTTCGTCGCTGCCACCTGGGGTATGAGCCCCAGTGACCACAACTTCTCCAGGACTATGTATAGCGGGATCTATAGTACAAAAACACAGACATTACTTTAGGAACTTAAAGTAAATTATAAAATTAAAACCTTGTGACTGTAGCTTGTATGGTCTGTTTCGATGACATACCTTCGTCGCTGCCACCTGGGGTATGAGCCCCAATGACCACATCTTCTCCATAACTATGTATAGCGGAATCTATAGTGCAAAAACACAGCAATGGTAATGTGTTCTTGACTGACGTGCATGTTTATTAAATAGCTGCGACCGCCTATGCGACCCAAATGAAAACTGTAAAAACTGCCAAATTTTAGTTGGAAATTTAGGAAGGTTTGTCGGAAATACATAAGGGAGGGCTCCACCACCTAAAAAATGAGAATTTCCACCATTGTTACTGTAAGTCCATATTTTATATGCACTTCTCACCCGAACCTTATCAAAAATTTGATCGACATTAGTCATTGCCTTATGCTTTCTGCTTAGTGCTTCCAGACATGCAAAAACACATAGACAAACAGGGGGCGAATACAAGAAAATATTGGGGACCGTCAATGGTATTCTCTATCGATCTAGTCTTCTTTGCAGACTGTAGTATCCGCTAAGGAAGTCTGCGCTCGCAGACTACATCGATTTAGCTAATCAAGACCAATCAAATATACAGTATACTATTTAGAATGACATGCACAATGAATCACGTGCACAATCACATGCAATTAGCCTTTCTCACGATTACGAATATCCGTCATTTTTGTGTGGCATCTATTCTCGTTAGCCAATGCAGACAATTAAAACAATGTGAAAAGCAATTTTTCAAACCATTTACACAGCAAATTTACCATCATTCGTTCCAAACTTTATAAAAAAGTCGCTGTTATGTGGACTTATCTTGCAGACTTCGGCTGAAAGCCTGAAACGCCACCCAAAAATGTCGGCGTGAGAAAGGCTAATAGACAATTCCAGCTTTTAGTTTATGCGTGCAAGGGGTGATGGGAAGTAAGGTATCACATTGCTAATTGCTGATTATGCTGAAAAAATAAAAATGCATGGTGGCTGTGTAAATACGGAGTGATAGCTTATTGAAATTTTTCAGCATAATCGGCAATATGATACCTTACTTCCCATCATCCCCTGCAGGCATAAACTAAAAGCTGGAATTGCCTATTGACATATCGATTTGATTGGTCAATTATGAAACTCGTGCATGTTTGATTGCCTAGCAACGACCTTGGGGCTTGGACAAAGAAGAGCCAGAAGTAGAACGAAAGATACTTCGAATTCCTCACTCGTGCATTTTTTTGTAAAAGTAGATTTTTTGTTGCCGTTAAAAATGCCGAAAGGTCGAAGAAGAGAGACCATAGACGTTTTATACTGGAAGGTAAGATTAGACTTATTTAATAAAGCTTTAAGACCAAATGGGATCAAATTTTTTTGCCGAAAGCCAGGACATATTTTATAAGAAGACAAAAAGAAAAAAATAGGGTTTTTTTGTTTTTTATTAACAGAGATTGGCGATGAAGACGTATTCGAGAAAACCTATTTTTGTTGTAGCAGTGAATTGGCAAAGACATTTGCAAAGGCAATGGAAATAATATTTTACAAGCATTGATTTGGTTTTTGAAGACAAAGACCGAAAGACGAACGCAAGTTGTTCATCGTGTATATTAAATGGCTGACCGATGACTGTGAAATACATCTGTTTGGACAGCACACTATAAAACAGGTACTACATATAAGTAAAGATTTAAAAATTATTGGTTCCAAGCACAAGGGCAAAAACGGCAAGGAATTTGAAATGGTTTCTACAATCCCTTTTGCACTACACGGCATAAGCCATAAACGTTTGGCTTGGCAGCTTGCTACAAATAGTCTCTGTTTTGAATTGATATAAAGTTTTAAATCTAAAACAGTCATCAGTCTGTACCCTAAAGATTGATTCTCAAATAATAAAAGCGAATACACACATTTAGCCATAGTTATAACACCATAAAAGCGTATCACTGCTACGATTTTTTCAGTAGAAATTGTTTATAGCGCCGCTATATATTTACTATATTAAAAAAAAATTTAAAAGCTGTCAACATTGATTTTCAATTCCTATATCGGCAACACAGGATTGTGTCCATTTTATATATTTACCTGTATTTTTCAATTCACATGTTTTTCTGCGTTTTACTATATCGGCATGAAAATAAGGAAGCTGTAGTTAAATATGAGAACTGCATTGAAAACTTCAAATAAATCAATTTGGTCATTCATTAATAGACAAATAAACGTTTGCCCACCTTCGTCAAACTCGTCTTCAACTGAATCAGTGAAAAGTTTTCGTTTTGCCCTGCAAGTGACTACTTCGCTCTGTTCACGAAAAATTGTTGGAACAGCCTCTCTCCATAAAGAGTTTTTCTCCGAGTTACGAAAACTGCTCTCTTCAAAGTGAACTGCACACATTCGACAGTTTTTGTACAAGTATATGGGATCTTTATCCAGTAACCTTATATTTTTGCAGTTGTTCACCCATTGCTTAGATCTAGAATACATATTAAAACATTCAAGTGATGATGCGAGCATCTTGCAGCCGGTAAATGTTAAAAGCTTACTTTTTATTAAAAATACTGTAATAAATTTTTTGCAAATGGCTTTGATACTTTTATAGTCTTAACTCGCAGTTTAATTTAAACCCGTATTTTTGCCTTATTAGAGACCTTAAGATTGACGTTTACGGCAAACGTCAAACCGCTAGTGAGGTTTTTGATTTTACAACTCTTTTATAATAGCTTTTACACCAGTTTTGAAATATGTTAAACTTATTAAACTTGTGCTCTTTAGCAATGATTTAAGAAAGCAAATTAATCACTAGTCATGCCATTCACCAAAGCAGTAAATTAAGATTTGGCGTTTGAAGTTGACGTTTGGCGTATAAATTTCATGCTTGAACTGCTACGAGGGCTTGTAGTCGTTTTTAATAAAGCATGAAATTTATACGCCAAACGTCAACTTCAAATGCCAAATCTTAATTTACTGCTTTGGTGAATGGCATGACTAGTGGTTAATTTGCTTTCTTAAATCATTGCTAAAGAGCACAAGTTTAGTAAGTTTAACATATTTCAAAACTGGTGTAAACGCTATAATAATAGAGTTGTAAAATTAAACACCTCGCTAGCGGTTTGACGTTTGCCGTAAACGTCAATCTTAAGGTCTCTATTATATGAGGCAAGGTTTCGTAAATGATTTGTAGTATAAACTATAAATTGTAGTATTTGCAGCAAGTAATATTTGTACTGTGTATTGCTTGAAAAAGTTTTTTAAATATAACAATAAAAATATTATTTTCCTTACATGTCTGTATCTCTTGGAAAACGGAAAAATGAGAGATTCCTGTTTCTTTTCTTGCTATTTGAGCAAAGAAATGCGGAGCACCAGGCACCTTGGCTTTTCCTTTTACCGGTGGCAAAAACTGACATTTTTAATCGCAATTACTTCCTAATTTTTGAAAAATATAATCGCTCAGTAATTGACTTTTGTTTATTTTTTTACCTATTGCAACATATATATATACATTAGCTTTGTAGGAAAGGTGGCAGAGTGCCGGTAGGGCTTGCGTGAGATGGCGTCAGACTTATCGCTCATGCGCATTGAAAAACGCGGACAAATATTTGCTCGAGATACGCTTCTGGTATAACTTCCTATTCTGTGACAGGGGGAGCGGGAAAATTTAAATTCAGAAAGCTTTCCAGTCAACTTTTTGTCTATATAGACACAGAGGGCAGCATTGAAAAGCATATATCCGAGCGCGAGTTGCGAATTTAAAACAGAAAAACATAAGAACACAATAATGTAAAATAAAAAGAAAGAACACACCGCTCTGGAACACCGCGGAAAAACGTCTGCGCATGCACCAAATTATGAAAATATGGCGGGGAATTTGAATATCAATTTCTAAAACAAAAACATGCTTATTAATTGGTCAAAAATTAGTAAAATAAACGAGAAAATATAGCAAATGGGTAGACTAGACATTAATTGAAAGCGTCCTGGCATTTAAAGTATGGAATGAGATATAATTCATGTAAAAAATTGTTGATTTTAACGGACACGACTTCGAAAATTTTTGCAAAATTATTCAAAACAAAAATTCAAACTCAAAAGTTAAGAAAACTCTCGAAAAGTTAAGCTTCTTAACCCACTCAAATTGTAGAATAAATCCTAAAGTTTAATTATTGTGAACACGAAATTTTTTTATATTTGGCGACACAGTTTTTTTAAAAGAAATGTATCTCAAACGAAAATTCGGAAATTGTCGTTGCTTAGTTGATAAACAAAATGTTTCAGACGATAAATTTGTTAACAATCACCTTTAGTTCATATTCTTGTACAATACAATTTCTTGAACCTTCTGGCTGTATTTATTCCTAGTCTTTAGAATGTCATGTGTATTTTTGCGCTCGAAATCTGGCTGTAAAGACGCACAATGAAGTCACTCCTTTTTACCGCCATTTTGAGCCTTCGGAAACGTTCGGAACAGCTTCTCATCAAGTTCGCAATACTATTACAGGTAAGGTTGACGCGTGCGCAGACGTTTTTCCGCGGTGTTCCGCTCTGGTAAGTAAAAATTTAATACTTATACCATGAAAAAATATCAGTTCAATCTTCGTAAAACAAGCGAGAAATGAATTTGTAAATTGACTATGTATATATAAATTATGTGTCGAAGTCGATAAACAACAAGACGAGTTTTTTTCGCAACAGTTTCCCTGGCTTGAAAATGGACCAGCAAGAAACAAAAAACTGTACAAGAAATATTCTTCGTTGTACATTATGGTAAGTATTCAGTAGCTTTAGTATTTTTGCAGTGCTTTTAGTCAATGCGAGGATAAACTTGTCAGTGCATGGCCAATGGCAATAAACTTTTAAAATTATTATACGCAATATTGTTTCAAACTAAGCACAAATTGTGTTTATAATATAGCATTTGTAAATTCTGAACGCTGATTGGCTAAGAGCCGTGTTGATATAACTCCATGTCAACACGGGAAATTTTCCGCCGCTTGTAACACGGAAATTGTTCTTATTCTTCGGGCTTTTGACATTGCTATATTATAAAACAAATATAAAACACTTTTTCCGTATTGATATATAGTTATATCAACACTCGTGGAAGTTGGGAAAACTCGAAATTGTTTGAAAACACTCCGCCCTTCGGGCGTCGTGTTTCCACACAATTTCTCGTTTTCCCAATTTCCACTCGTGTTGATATAACTGTATATCAACACGGAAAATGTTTTATATTTGTTAAATATTGTCACAAACACAGAATGTTATGACTAATGTCCAAACGTTTACGATATAAACTATGAATTATTTGAACGAATATGAATGTTAAATTCCAGAAAAATATCGAGTTTTGTTTTAACTTGATGGACTTATATATAATATAGATATGAAGCTGATATAATACGCCAAAACTCCCGTAAATGTCGAGCCATGCAAATTGAGCCGAGACTGACAGCCAGCAGCAAACTGTCTATTTTTTATTTAGATATTCCCAACATTCAAAACTGTTTGCCCAGTGTCATTTTAAAAAATACAGCACAAAAATGTAACTAGTTTATATATATTAAAGAAAGAGGAACACTCACCCTTTTCTGCATGCAGCAACTTGAAGGAAAGTCTGAATATTTCGGCAACAATATATATGAGCACTTGAATTTTATAACGCACGTAAATATACTTTTTCTGGATCTTTTTTCAACCAAACTTCGACAATGTCCATCGTGTATATATATTAAAAAACAGATACAGAAACTATACAATAAAGTCGGTTGAATATTATAAACTCTGATTTTTATATGATGTTCAAACAGACACAAAAATGAAAATATTAAATGTTGGTTTTATAAAAAACAAAAGTTAACTGCAAGAAATGTTAGCAGACACAGTACTATACTGCAGATTATAACTTATAAACCAAACTTAAACTTACCTGTTGAGTGAGGCAAGATATTCTTGTCTTTCGTTGTTTTTGTATAAACAGTTCTATGGAATATAAACTGCACGTTTTTATCCAACAATAAACCCTTTTCAGCTCTTGTATTTTTACAACAAACTTTGCACATCGAATGCTCGTTCATATACCCGAATATTCATCCACACAACGGATCTTTTCACTCAGATGAAATCCATTTAAACTAAGTTCGAAAAGCGGAAAAATACATTAAAAAAGAGCACGCTATAAAAACGATCCGTTCCATGTCAGCATGCTCTTGAATCTTTGATCCAGCAAAACCGGTCTGACAGGTTTATCGATTTTGTGACCTCATGAGTGACGTAATTTCGCCAACTAGCTCTATTAAAATTCTAATATGTTCTAATCAGTGCTATACTAGTATAGCATATGCAATAGTTGCAGGCATATTTATAAAAGCAATGTCAAAAACTATTTCGAGATTTGATATTTAAACTTAGAAAAGATGATTAACAATTAGTCTTTTTCACGCCACCATTTTTGGGTGACTTTTCAGGCGAAGTCTGCGAGATAAGTCCACCTAACAGCGACTTTTTATCATTTTTGAAACAAATGATGGTAAATTTGCTTTGTAAATGGTTAGTTTTTTTGAAAAATTCCTTTTCACATCGCTTTAATTGTCTGCATTGGTTAACGATAATTAGATGCCATGCACAAAAAAATAGTGGCGGATATTCGTCATCGCGAGAAAGGCTAATTGATTAGTTGACGTGCAGGACCTTTTACATGAGAAGCATTAATATCGCATGAACAGAACTTGGAAGACTAATTTTTAAAGGCTTTTTATTATCTTTCAAAAAACAGATGATTGGTTATAATTGATGTATTAGTGATGTCAATGGAGCTTACACAGCAACAACGTCGCATTTTTGATATTGCCATCAGTGGCCATAATCTTTGCATATTGGGTCGGGCAGGAGTAGGAAAATCTGTGCTGGTCAATGCCATCAAGAGAGAACTGGACAAAAGAGGACAGAATGCCCGAATAGTCTGTTCAAGTGGGATTGCATGTGAAGCTTTCGAGGGAATGGCAAAAACTGTCCATTCACAATATGGTTTACAGACAGCTGAACTTCCTGCGCACAGGCTAATTGAACGATGCCTTGAAAGACAAAATGTCCTCGAAGATCTGAAGGACTGCGATGTATTGATTTGGGATGAAATATCCATGTCCAGTGAACGCCTATTCAACCTAGTTAACGTGATTAACCAGAAAATTAAAAATAATGATCTGGCTTTTGGCGGGGTGCAACTCATATTAGTTGGAGACTTTTGGCAATTGAAACCAATACCGAATGTGCTTGATGCTGGTATCCCGATTTATGAGAGCAATCTGTTTAACAAAGTGTTTCCACACCGCTATGAATTGACCGAAGTATTACGACAAGGAGAAACAGAAATTCGTTTGAAACACGCCCTCGACGAAATACGAATGGGAAAGTGCGAGGACGAAACCGAAGATTATCTTATGTCATTGTCCCGTGAATGCGCTGAAACGGACAAAAATGAACCCCCTCTTCACATATACTTTAAACGTTTACCTGTCCATGTGCACAATGCGGAAATTTTAGCTTCCCTTGATGGCTCTCAAATGATATTCGAAAGTCTTGATATGGGTAATGCTAAACTACTTGATAAAACTATCGACGCAGAACTCGCTCTCAAACCTGGATGTCGAGTCATGCTTCTATTCAATATCAATGCACAGTTAAAGAACGGTTATTGTGGTCAGTTTGTTGGTGTTCAAACCGAAGACGATGGAAATGATCGACTGTTAATTGATTTTCCTCGAGTTGGCGTTGTCCCATTAGATCGCAAAACGTGGTACAGATACGACAGTAACGGTAAGGTACTAGGGAGTCGCACTCAATATCCACTATCACTTTGCTACGCCATAACTGTACACAAATCCCAAAGTTTGACCATTGATAGGACTGTCGTAGTGCATTGTTCCCAGGAATTTATCCCCGGCCAAACATATGTTGCATTACCCCGTGTTAAGCGTGAAGCTACCCTCCAAGTCATTGGATTTCGGAAGCGTTTTTTATTACCGTCGCCCCCTTCACTATCTGATATCATAACTTGCCCATCAGAAAACGTGAAGCCGGCATTTGAGTGCTGCAAAAATCTTGCAATTGACCAAACCTGTTGTGAGATGGATGACACATCTGAGTTTTTCAGGGAAGATGAAACCATCGTCGAAACAGTTTGCCAAGATCCGACCGAACATTTTGAGTCCAATATTACGGACGGTAATGAAGTAAGCCTTGAAGACGTTCTGTTATGTGTAATGGATCACAACCAAAAACTGTCCTCTCCTCCAACCCAATTTTCTGCTAAAGAGTTTATCGAATCTTTGATTGAAGATAATGATGGGCAAGACCAGATGAGCAAGTCCATCACGTGTGCAGCATCCTATGCACTTGATAGTTTAGATACGTTCCGTTTGTTATCAGGAATAATTTGGTGCCGAATATCCGATATATTTCAGAACTATCTACCCCCCCCCCCCCTCAAAAGTTAAATGGTCGGCCCCTAAAGATTGTTCCATCTGCGGCAAGCGAGCTTTAAAAAGATTGACAAACCATTTGGCAGACGTCCATGAACTTTCTTCCGAAGAAAGACAACCTTATCTTATTCGTGCTAAGCCAACAGCTTTGGACTCAGAAAATGTTTTAGCAGAGTTGTACAGAATAATTGGGAACAGTAAAAAGCAGTCAAAGTGGAATAAAAGCGGGATAAAGAAAAAAACCCATCCGTCAACCAAAATCCTCCAGGAAGAGAACAAAATCGAATACAAAACCTGCAAAGAACGTGGTCAATGCAGAAATGAATGATGGCTCAAAGGAGCGGTTAAAGTTAGAAACAAAAATGGGATAAAACTCTTAAGTGGATAATATATTTATACAGACAAGAATTATTAACTTTGTGGTAGCCTACTTAAAGAAATAAATGTGTTCTAAAAATGAAATCATGTGCTTTTGCCTATTTTATACCCGCGCTCTGTCCCCCACGCTTATAATAGACCGGTATTATCCTTCAATATCCCTATTATGATGTACATTGTATGTATCTTATCGCTAATGATCGTTTAATGACCGTAGGTGTATGCAAATAGCGAACATAACAACGCATATTAACGCATGCATGCGCGCTTACTTCGCTTGGTATATTTACTTAACATTGCTCGTTGTGACGAATAGATTCATCGCTACCATTTTGTAAACATACGAAAGCTAAATAGGCAATAATACGACCAAAATTTGTAACACTGATCTCTGTGTAGACTTGTTCAAGGTTTAGTGATCATTGTATTTATATGAAACGATAACGTTTGCTTATCAATATCAATTTCATTTCGTTTCAACTCATCAAAAATTATATCTACGTTATCCATTGACTGTGCTTGGATCAAATGTTTGGAAAATTTTGTAGCTACGCTATGCCAACATTAATCCCTCTATTGTATCAGACAGTATCACACACTTGGGAGGGACGCTAAAAAATGCCTAGTCAGCAAGTTTTGCCAGATTTTGCCTAAGCTTGTCCTCGTGACGTCATTGCATATATTAAGTGAACAAACCCACATCCAGATCCACCACCTCACGCCACCCCATTCTCCTAATGATAATGCGCCACCTCTTTTCTATGCTAATGAAATGCGCCACCTCATTCTATGCTAATGATAATGCGCCACCTCAGTCTATGCTAATGATGATGCGCCACCACACGCCACCACCACACGCCACCACAAAAAAAGGGGGTCGAAAACCACCTGCATTACTACTATTATGGATATTCACTGCATGTGTTCATTTCCAAATATTTATATCAGAATTTTATTTGATACAGATCCTGAAATTGTTGAAAAGAAAGATTCACACTCCTGTAACAGAACTGCCATTATGAATGATTTTCCTCAAATTTCGTTCCCCAACCCAGTGAGTTCCAAACATATCTGGATCACTCTCCTCCGCAGAGGCTTTTTTTGCTTTTTTTTTCGCAGGCGAAGTTGAGTAGCAGGTGGAAGGCAACGGGCGGAATTCGGGCGGGTGCGGGTTGAGAGCGGTATTCGGGCGACTCACTTGGCCAGCCAAAAAAAGGTGAGGCCAAGATGGCGGAAATTGAAGGAACTACTGAAGGTCAGCTTCAGTCCTCTGCGTGGTTTTGATACGCATACGTTTAATAATATAACCGTATACGGTTACGCGAAGCCGAAGTGACTCAGACTGACATCCATGCAATATTCCTGATAAAACAGCCCCACCCTGATTTGTTCATTGTACTGGAGTACAATTAGTACAATACACGAGCCATTTATCAGGCAGAGCTAGAGGCTCCTCAACCAATCAGATTTCAGTAATGTCATGTATATAATCAAGTCAAGTATAACCAATATACTCGATTAGATATACCAATACACCTAAACCTCCCAGCTATATCTGTCGGTCTAAATGATTTATCTTCTCAGTTCAATGTTTATCTTGGACAAATGTGGGATACTTCGTACCAGAATTTGGACCTATTATATATAACCGAAACCTGTAGCTCTGCCTGATTAATGGCTCGTGTATTTGAAAATTGTTCTAAATATTTTAATTCGCGTGCTGCTGCATGAAGCTGAAGTGTGGGCACTGAGGAAAGAGGTTATTAGAGAGGACTGATATGAGAATGTCACGTATCACTCCGAGACGACAACTGGAATAAAGAATTGCTAAAAACACAGAAGAAAAGCAAGAATGGAATGGCAACTTGATTAGAATGAGCGATATAAAATTAGCTGAAGTAAAAGGGAAAGATCCTGACTGGATATAATGAGGATGGTTATGATGATTCAAACTTCCCTGAAGAGATTGGAGTTACCGAGAGAAAAGGCAAAAGAAGTAAAAATACTAATACATAAGTGAAAACTATATGCTTTTGCAGTTTAATATATATTGTGCCCAAAATCATTAAATTTGTAAATCACAAAGTTTGTCATAATAAGCCTGAAGTTACATAGCTTATATATTTTACCCATGCAACTAAATACTGATAACAGTATTAGAATAATATAAAAAATTACGTATTAATTGCTAGAATAGGAACTATTCTAATAATTCCATAGGCATAAATGATTAAATTGACTGGTGCAGTGCAACTCTGCAATGCAGTGAAACTATTGATATATATATTTCCCTTTCTATATAACCAGTGGAAGTCCCTAGAAAATAAACAAGGCAAATGACTTTTATAAAAATGTGGAAATATTATAAAATTATGTGGATACGTTTTCTCCCTGTATATATATGCGCCAGTATTCTAAACGCCTTAAAAAGCTGTTGAATGAGAATAAATTAATGTTTAATGTTGGAAGAAAATTTCCATGTGTGTAAAGGCCGTTTTCCACTAGGCGGAATTTTGCGCGCGGAGTGGAATTTTTCTTTGTCTTGTGATTTCTCGGGTGGAACTAGAACTGACAAAGAGAAATCCCGCTCCGCGCGGAAAATTTCGCCCAGTGGAAAACGGCCTTAATATGGCTGAATATATAAAAATAGGTACGCAGGGCCTACATGTGACTATCGCTGTTTAGTCAGCTACGGTTTGGTCATCTTATACCCAAACACGTTTCACCACTAGCAAATATCCGCCAAGCCATTTGGTATGGAAATATGCCTAATCCTACTAAGTGCTGGTGTTCAGTAAACATATTGTTTCCCTTTATGTTGTGGAGTTTCGACTGAGAACGTAAAACTTTAAGACAAAGAAACACTTTATATTCAGCTTCCCTTTATGTTGTGGAGTTTCGACTGAGAACGTATAACTTTAAGACAAAGAAACACTTTATATTCAGCTTCATGATTGTGAGGAAAACATATAAACATTCGAGAACACCACCTAATTTTAAATAGCTAACTATAGGGGAAAATCAAGATAAAATTATATTACTAATTACACTCACTGTTGCGAATATTGTTCAACATCCGTAAAATTCAACACGAAGAGAGATGTGTCCATTCCATGACTTTGGTTCAAGTCTGATATATCGAGCGACGATGGCAGGTGAAATAGCATTGTGTACTACAGAATGTTTATCTGTATTACCATTGAATACCTAAAGTAAGATTAAACCGTCTATATCATTAGTATTGCATCCTACATGCACTCTCAAAATAATGTCTATTAGATACTACCACTGATGATAAGAATACTCAATATTTTATTCAAACGCAATTTTAAAAGATGTCACTTAATAGTTACTTCAAAGATATCACATGAATACTGAATAACTAATCATTTCGAAACCGCTGTCTTTAGAATGCCTAGAAATGCTAAGGGTTATCTCTTAATGTGTTTATCGGACACTCCCACTTCCTCCTATATAGTATAACCTGTGGCGTTGGTAAATTCAAACTGGAAAGATCCTTTTACACAGGAATAAGTCGAATTGATAATAGGAATGCATAAATAGAACTCTGATCGCAGATCCACTGTGCTACCAACACCACTCTGCTATGATATTTAATAATGTACCTACCTTGACTTGGCCAACATTTTTGTAAGGGAAAAATGATACCCCGTTGATGCTGTAATACAACATGTAGGTTGTGACCCACTGTGAACCAGCATCTTCTCTTCCCTGAGTACTGATACCAACCACAACAGTTTGTCCTTTGAAATCGACCTGTAACCATTGGTTAAGATTATTTGGTCTTGTAGACCAAGCTCCTGTTCTTCCATTTCGTGCTGTAAAGAACAATCTAGCGTTGTTCGGGCCATGGTTGGAATCCCATTGCGACGAAGCTGTGATTTGTGAGACCTGGATGTTACCACTATGTATTCCCAGGTCCTTTGTATCATTAGCACAATCTATTCAAAGAAATTTTATATATATATATATATATATATATATATATATATATATATATATATATATATATATATATATATATATATATAACATTTTATTAGAATGGATGGTAGAAAATTAGCTAAGAACCGTTCAAGAAATGATGGAAATTGGTGAAGAGGAAGACAAGAGAGGAGTGGTGGATTAAGAAGATTATCGAAGAGATCTGACATTTTGACTTAAGGAGAATGATGCAAAAGCTCGAGTTACATGCAGGCCCAACCCATAAGTTCAGGAAAAGAAGAACAGACTTGAAGAGTATGCATGTGCTGTATATACTAAAGCGCAAATAATCATGAAGAGGTATATTACCTTTATAGCATCCAAAAAGTTCCATTCTCAAAGAAATGTGTCCGTTCCAAGTCTTTGGTTGGACGCGAATGTATCGAGCAAGGATTGGTGAAGAGAAATCGTGATGTACCACTAAATATTTGTTTGTATTACCACTGAAAACCTAGAAATGCGCATGCAAACATGCATAATTAACTGTTTAATTTACAGATAGGTGCGATGTCTTCTCAGCCCCCATTATATGGTATACCATCTCTGTTGTTGACAGCCTGGCACAGATTATATTTAATACCATTCGCAGTGAAGTCAACAAAGTAGTTGAAAACAACAAATTTATGTAATCTTCGGCGTTGACATATGGAGATGAACTAATTAATGTAAAGGCAAACAAAATAATATAGGCTATAGTCTATATATTATGTAGTTAAGATAAATACAATTCAATACAATTTTAAGAGCACCAGCCACTAGCCAGTCAAGAGAGTCGAGTATAGCCAAATGTCAGGCGGTATTATATTTTAATTAGAAAAATGCATGTTAATTTTAATTACTTCCTTTCCTTACCTTAATTTGATTTTGCTCTTTGTATGCTTGAAATACCACGCCATCCATGCTGTATGAAATAATGTACGTTTTGACAAACTGATTACAACAGGAATCGGCACGACCTTGTGTGCTTATACCAGTGATTACGACTAGCTGTTCAAGATCAACTTCTAACCATTGGTTCACATTATTATATTTGGCTGACCACGCCCCTGTTCTGCCATTGTGCGCTATAAAGTTCAGACGTCCATTTTGTGCACGATGGTTTGAATCATAGTTAGATGATGCTCTAACTTGACGGTCGCGAATTCTTCCATTTTCTAAGCCTAGTTTGCCAGGGTTCGTACAATCTGCAAGCAATGTAGATTATAGTAGACATTTATAAAATGTTTTCAGTTAACTATAAATATGAAACAAATCTATACCAATTGAAAATACATTAAATTTCCACAATTATATATAATATTTAATTTGTGTTTGCAATCTTTATCATCACGTTAATCAACCATCTATAATTTCGGGGTACTCGAATAATCAGTATCTCCAATGATTTCTATTTCGGCGATAACGGCCCCAATGATTTATAATTGATTATCATGAGAGATCGGAAATATCGATCGTTTTCATACTACAAAAAAATTCTTAACTTCTCCAGCTCATTAAAAATTTACTACCAATATACTCGATAATACTGGCTCAATATACCAGTGTACCTAAAATTCTAGTGATTCTGGACTGGGGGTTATTAGAAGGGGGGAGGGCAAAATAGAGGCTGGGGACGTAATAAATTTCCATGTTCTTTAAAAAAATGTTAACTTGCAGAATCATCATTAGGCAAACATCTGGAGAAATTTTCATATAATTTATCTTTATTTAGCTATATCAGTGAATGTTATATAAGTATGCATTCAAATTTCTCTACAAGTTTATATTAAGAATGATTTAATTAGTAGAGGATGGGGGTTATATAGAGGGTTCGGGCTTATTTCTTAATTTTCAGCGTTTCTTTAGACTGGGGCCAATTAGAAAGAGGACTATTAAAATAGAGGAAATGCGGTCTATCAACGATCTAACTTAATGGGATCTCCACTGTTCCTCCTAATTCGTATATATTGATTATTTTAAGGATGTAAGACCTGTATTCGTCTAAATCGTATGTATTTATTGGACTATATCTAGGATATAACTTGTGACCTTTACTATTCTCATCATTCTTATCTGTTCAAGAAGTCTGCCTCTGACATAATTATTGGACCTTTTCACTTAGATGTTGAATGTCTGGTAATATTTATAAAATAAAAGCTAAGGTATATATTTACCGATGTAACATCCATTGAATTCCACCCTCATAGAAATGTGATTGTGCCAGGTTTTAGGATGAACTCGGATATATTTGGCAATAATTGCTGTGGGTAGACTGTGATCAACAACTGTATCTGTATCGGAATTGCCAGTAAATACCTGTTAATGTTATGATAAGAATCAATATCAATACTGTCGTTATGGTAAGAATTTTATTGCTCTTATAACTTGGAGTCTGTGGTATCTCTTACAAAATTATTCTGAAAATTAAATTTTCGAGTTCAGGACGGCCGCATGTTTTTTTCAGCATGAGCTCCAGCTTTGAATTTACTATATGAGTAAATTCTTAAACACGTCCGAATTTATCATTATGATAAATTCGCGGCACATTTTGAATTTATCATAATGATAAATTCACGGCATCTAACCCCTAACACTAACCCCAACCCTAACCTCTAACCCTATAACCCTAACCCTAATCAAATTTGTTTAACTTTTTTGAATATCTAACTTTTTAAACTTTTTTTTTATTTATTTAAACATTTTTAAAACTCTTTTAAAACTTTTTGAGCATGATTTTTATTAATTGCATGATTGATTTTATGCATGATTAGTTTCTTATACATTCTCGTTGCAAAAAGGTTTCATGCAGTAGTGGATAAAAAATTCGTGATATTACACTAAGTACATTGGCAATGCTCTTTCTTAAACTATCATCCTTTGTATTTAAACCCACCTTTGGCTAATCTCGTTTTAGCTTTCAAATATATTCGTAAGTTTGCCCAACATTTCGCTTTGCATGACGGTTAAATTTCAGTTGGAACCAACATGCCTTGCGGCTCCACTCAAGATTGAGATTTTGTACAGCTGTATCATTTTAGTCCACTGCCTTGCTCGCTTGCGGCGGCAGTAATTACCACGAACATTTGATCCGGCTAGGCATTATATCGCCAGTGTTAAAAAGCAAGAAATTGCTTTTCCAAGAGCTTGGTTCTGAAAATGACGATTGGGGTGATGATTTGTACCACTGTCGACAACCAAAATGCTATATAATGCTATTATACAGCCTTATTTCGACTATTGCAGCCCCTTATGGGATAATTTAGGAATTGGGCTCAAAGATAGCTTGCAAAAATACCAAAATCGTGCTGCAAGATTAATTACTGGGGCAACTTTAAGATATTCGGTCATCTGAGTTACTCGATAATCTAAATTGGAAACTACCTCTCGAAGAAAGACGAAATTATCTTAAATCTATTTTCATCTATATTCTGAATGGCCACACCGCACCCAGTCTTAAAGAAGCATTTCAATTTAATAATGAAAGACATAATACGTATACAATCTTAGAAATAGGGATACTGATTTAGCACCACCTATGCCAAAAAAAAGAATTCGGCAAGAGGTGCTTCAGTTATAATGGTGGCTTGCATTGGAATAATCTTCCCCATGAGTAAAAAATTACTGAATCCTTAAGCTCTTTCAAATCGATATTAAAACAAAGAATGAGTTGAAACTTGCTTGTATGTGTATGATCGTGCAGTTAAAATCACCTGTATTTTTTTTTGTTATATTTTTGTAAATAGTTAATTTCTTGTAAATAGGTAATTTCACGCTCCTCATGTAAACCAGCCTTCCAACGGTTGTTGAGGGCAGCGTGGTTTGTATAAAGTTTTGTATGTATGTATGTATGTATTGCATGAAGAGAAATAAAGCAGAAATGGAATGCCTGGTTTATATATTAGCTAATAGCTATAGTCTATATAGATGGGCTTTGCAATACAAAATTATTGAGATTGTCAGAATATGTTTGTATAAAAATCCGAGTGATGAGATATTAGAATATCAATTACACGGCTTTGCCGCGCCTTTGTGGATGCTAGCCGGTGGCGCCGTGGACGGCGGGAAGGGGGGGGGGGGGGGGGGGGGGGGGGGGGGGGGGGGGGGGGTCATGACCCCCTCTATTGTTGACAGCTGTCGGAAAATTGTCAATGTTGTTGGAATTTACGTGGTGAAGCATGGGAAGTGCTACGAAAGCAATTGTAAAAGTACTCGGAAAAGTACTGCCCTTGCCCCCCACCCCAAAACATGGGACTCACGGCGCCACTGATGCTAGCAATGAAACGTATTCAGCTTGTTGTCTATATTTTATGTCGGACGCAAAATGGAATATATGCACGATTGATAGCAACTAGCAAGTAAATATAGAGTTGCGCCACTTAAAAGGTTAACTATACCTTTGTTAGAATTGATATTCGCCATGATAGCTAGATTTATACACACAATTAGATTCACAATTAGAATAACATTTTGGCTTGATGGTAAAACTGTATCATGTTGGATGCAGAACCGTGGAAGTGGAACAATTCATACGACAAAGAGTAAAATAAATTTTACAATTAAGTAAGGAGCATAGAGGCAAATTATCGAGATGCACGGTATTGGCTCGCCTCTATCTTTCTTGACCTCGTCACTGGAGGTTGTGTTAAAAAGGCAGCATTTACTACATTTTATAGGTAACCTAGTTTAAACTCACCCTCGGCTAAAATCGTTTTAGCTTTCAAACACAACTCGTAACTTTGTGCAACATTTTCGCTTTGCATTGTGGTTATCTTTCAACAACCTCGTACCCAGGGTATTTGCTCTTGGGGAGCGAAATACCCTGGGAACGAGGTTGATCTTTCAATTGGAACCAACATGTGTATACCTGTGTAACTGTGTTATTTTAATCTGCTGCCTTTTCCGCTGAATGTTCGCTCGCTGCGGCAGCAATTATTGAATGAAGGTCTGTGTTGTAAACGAAACCAAAGGCTGACGCACGTTGATAACACTAACTGAGGCCTTGATATTTTTTCATATCATGCACTCACATTGAGTATATTATAATAATCCTTTAAATTAAAGCAAAGTTGCACTCACAATTAATTTATAAATCGGCTATATAACTATATATTTACCTTGAGAAGACCATTTGATGTATAGGATTGGAATACTGATCCATCTTGGCTGTAAGACAATGTGTAGCTTTTAACAAACTGAGTATGTCCTGCTCTCCCCTGGGTACTGACTCCAACTATGGCAGTTAGTCGCTTAAAATCAATCTGTAACCATTGATTGATATCATTTGTTTTGGACGACCAAGCTCCTGTTCTACCATTATGGGGTGCATAGAACAATCTGCTATTGCTTGGGCTGTGGTTGCTATCCCACTGAGATGACGCCGAGATTTGCGAGTCACTGATCAGACCATTTCGCATTCCAAGTTCCTTTGGTTTACTGCACACTATGAAAGAAACATAGTAGGGTTATTTCCATATTAGCAACAGCAACATCTTTACATCTTAACCATAATCGTCACTCTATTCCTAATCCTCAACTCTTATCCTACATAACCTTAACCTAATCTGGACACTGATCCCAATCAACCCTTATCCCAGCTCAACTCCTAAATCTTATCTTAACTCTGTTCAAATCCTATAATATAACCTACCCTGATACTAACTATAACCTTAATTTAATCCCAATCTAACTCGCGTCCTAAATCTTCATCCTGTGCTTCGGTGGCGCAATGGTTAGAGCAAGCGCTTTTTTCACATCTGAGATCGTATGTTACTTATGTGAAAAGAGTCAGTCAACGACTCAACCCTCGACCGATACTCGATAGACGTGGGTTTTCTCTGGGTACCCTGGTTTCCTCCCACGGGATATGTTGAGATTAGCCCTAAACAATCCGTTAGGGATTAGTCCTAACTGACCTTTCCACTGTAGCTGTTGTGTTAGATATTTCTGAATTATTTTCTGGCCAAGCATGCTCACGGAACACCCGCCCAAAATCGAATTTGTCTGGCCTGTTCCCCACCCAACCAAACCATAATTCAAGTAAAGAAAATCAATTTTTAACCGGTTAAAAATGTAATTCAGGTAAATATAAGTAAATCACGACACTTGCCTTGGTTTTTATCCGTAACTATATTTGAGCTTGAACTCGTGCATTCGACCCTAAAGAAAAAAGTCAACTCGAAATGATAAAAATATTTGGAATAGATGACACTTAATTGAAAAGATGATTTTGCTCGGTTTTATTCTTGTAAATTCTGATTGGTTCTATAAGACATGGAAGGCTTTTGTTCGAGGCATATCGGAAATATGTACTGACTGGTTGTATAAAAAGTAGTTGAACTTAACTATAGTTGGTGGAAAACTTAACCAATCAGAATCACTTATTTTGAGAGTTAAACGAAACGTTAGTTAAATAAAAATATTTCCTAGGAAATATGTTTTTTTTGTCACACGATAAGATAAGACAGGATAATATTGTTATCTTAATCCTTGGCGCGCCAGCGGGAAGCAGGAAAGGGACGGACCATTAGAAAAGTGATGGAGGGTGGTGGTCCATTTTCAACGTGCACGATTATATTTTAAATTTTTGCTGTGTGTCGATTATTTTGTTTTATAATCCCTTGCTCAATTTTATTTTTTTCCAGAATTGTTGGGGGGGATTTTTTTCCGGACTTAAAAATATTTTCAGGACAAAGAAAAAAAAGGGATCAAAAAAGTTTTTCCGGGCTAACATCAGTTTAGTTATACGGTTTAAAAACACATTTTCTCTGAAAAAATCTTCTTGAAAGATGATTAAAACGCTTTTTTGCACCACTTTCTCACACCATTATTTATATTAAAAAAGTTCAAAAATTTATTTTTTTTACTTTCCTTACACTGTACCTCTGATAGGCCCTGTCAATTAACCTGTCCATTCAGGACCTGACCACCGAACGTTGGGTACAACAGGTTACCCCAATTACTGTACTCCCACCAATTTTAACAGTTTAGTGGTTTAATAAAGTCATGATTTAAATGGTTAAATGGTAAATGGTCTGCACCTTATCACACCGAACTAAGTCAATAGTTGTCACAAAGAAGAAAAAAAAAATAATTGGCTTCTTCTCTAAGCAGCGTAGCTAATGACCTGTGAGTCTGCTTGGTACTCTCTATATCCGACTACCTTGAGGGCACATGTTTGCGAATAATTCATAGCCGCTTTATTATAATTTTAACATAATATTATTTTTTATCATCAGATAATACTAAATTGAGAACATATTATTATTAGCAGATTATCTTGGTGTTCATTACCAGTAAAGCCAGTTAGAGAGGATTATTAGAGGAAATTGATTAGAGGGAAATATTGAATATATTCCCCGATAAGAACAAAGGAAACCGAGCAGGGTGAAAAATAAGGTGTCGAAATGTGAAATCAATGTGTAGGTTTTGATAGTATAGCCTGCATAGCAGGCGGTATTAGCGGGCACGCAATGGCAGGGAAGCTTGAAATACTGTCCGCCCACTACATGGTGGACGGAAAATTCTGATTTGTCAATTATTTCGCTTGATTGACGGCAAAGGATCTGTGTTATTAATGCTATGATAATTTATTAAACAAGGAATGGCTTCGTCCGAACTTCGGGAGAATTGAGAAAGCGCTAAATTATTTAATAAGCGGGAAAAGTCGGGCAAATTCCTCCTAATTTTTCCTTCCCGTACGCCTATCCTCCGTAGGCCTCTCTATGGGTTATTGAACTACAGGCGATTGTTTTGTCATCGTATTTCTGAGAAAGCATTTGAACAAATTTTTTGGATAAAATGAAAAGTACTATATAGTGCGATTCGCCGCAGTGTCGTGGCTATTGTTGTGGATTGTGTCGGAGAATGATTTAAGAGCCGGAATATCTTTAAAATACCAAGAATGGCCCATTTGTTTAGACGCTTTAAAATTGTCATTGCAGTGATTTGGTATTAGGTCGTGGTATTTTCGTGCAATATTGACCGAGATAGCTGCGTTAAAACTTGACTAAATATTTTGGGAAGTGTCGAGAATTAGCCAAAAACGTTAAAACGGCCTGTTAAACTAATTTGATAACCGTTACCATGTTTTGTCAGTTTTTAGTTGAAGTCCCCCTCGAGTTCCCGGTTCGGTCCAGGATCACAGTATGTAATTATCGGTATCTCCGATTCGACCCGGTGTATTAAATATGGATTTAATTAGGTCTTGCATATTAATTAAAACACAAAAAATGGTGCATTTGACCATGGGTGCATTGCTGCTTAATTGGGAGAAATATGGTAAACTCGAGAAAAGTGTGTGCCCCGCCTCAAAGGCAGAAAAAAATCTTTGTAGCCCGCTTCTATATGCAGCTCCAAAAAATGTACCCCGTCCTCTTTTTGCTCCGGCCCGGTATAAAAATAAATTTTGCATGGTCCCTAACTATAAGCACAGATTGCACAGCTATACTGACTATGCTATCACCGTAAAATAAAACAAATAAAACAAAGCTAAATAGGTTAAAATAGGTATACTCACACCGAATCTGAAAAGAAAATTCCAACGAACAAGAGTAAGATACACTTTGCTGTGTTCATCTTGAGAGTCAGTTTGGAACTACTCTCGATTCAATCCTGTCTTATCATTTCATACAATCGGAAATGAAAATACTTCCCATTTTATGTCAACGCGTACATTAATTAATTCTTGTGGTGCCAATTGAAGAGGAAACACAGTTTTATATTTCAAGTCTACGCACGTGACAGTGCGTAAGTGCCAAGATCATGCAATGATGCAAAGTCATAATCTTCGCATTAAAAAAACACAGGCTATTTCAGATTGATGATCTCCTTCTGTTTGAGTAAAGAATTTGAAATTCCTTTTATCCACCCACCTTCAATAGGCTAAAATGGGATACTATACTATTACTATATTTCATGGGTATTGTAGACATAAGCGTACGGGCTTAGAAATTTAAGGGGGCGGATGTCAATCTGCCCGACGACTGGCGACGAGCGTCGAAGGCGCGAGAACTGCTAGGGGGGTCCGGGAAATTTTGAAATGTAGAGCCTCTAAAATGCCATTTCCTGCGTTTTGGGGTGAAATTTTGTGCCTGGAGCGGGCGAGATACGAAGAGAAAATTAATGAAACAAGAACATGTCTAATGACTATTTTAATATCATAAATGTAACCTTTACTTAAAACCTAACCTAATCTCCACTACAAGTTTATCCCGCGTATTATATTATGTATACTGTCAAAAGAAATGTGAGGCACGGTGACTTCGTTGGCCAAAAACATAAATTATTCCAGGGGCGGATCTAGGAGTCGTCAAACCAGTCACGCGACTAACATAAAAATTGCAAACTTAATTAAAGTCTTAAATATTCGACCAATAGTCCAGTTATTTTTTATCATGCAGCGACACCTTATAATAGTCCAGTATCTATTATCATACAGCGCTAGCAATTAACATTCTAATCGAACTGTAGTCCAGTGATCAAATTTCATACAGTGGCTGAGCCAACGAGCTTAGTCAAGTCAATGAGCAGCTGACATACGCAAAGTCGGTCAGTCAAAAAGTCAAAATCCAGTGTTTTGATTGGTCTAGACGCTTATTGCCATGGAAACAAGCATTTTTTCGCGATTTTGACTGATCTGTGGGGGAGTTCTGACCGATTTACAAAAGTCAGGGGCGCTCCATTAGTCGGAATATCAATAATATTTGACGCGGGGTAAAGGCTTTCCGAGCGCGCGCTCATTCGAAGTGTCATGTTGTAGCTTTGTCGAAAGATTCAATTTAAAGATATCTACGGAAAATTCGGAAATGTCTGCTGCTTCAGACTCCAGTCCTTGTAGTATTTACGAAACGGCTCAATCCG